AGGTCTTAAGCGCACTCTAAAACGGAATAGGGGTGGTCTGCCCCGTCCGAACACAAAACTGGAAAGCTGATTCCCACAAAGTGGAGCTTGATAAGAAAAGGCTCTGGCTCCCATTGTACTTTTAGAGACTCTAGGAACAACCAACAACCCTGCATTCTTGGAACGCAATGCCCTAGTAGGACAGTAGGGTATAATGAGTTCTTTAAGGTAAGATGGCGCCTGCCCATTAAGGGCTTTGTAGGCGAGAAGAAGAATTTTAAATTCTATCCTGTGTTCTATAGGGAGCCAGTGTAAGGCAGCCAGAACAGGAGTAATGTGGTCCCTTTTCACGTGCTGCTGTGTATGATTTAAATCATGTCCTGGATGTAGGAAGGTCAGATCCAGAGTGGAGTATAATGTGGTAGAACTTTGATATGTTGGAAAACAGTTGAGCTGCTGCATTCTGCATTAGCCGAAGAGGTCGGATGGCACTGGTCAGTAGGGGACGAATCCTTCTGATGTTGTATCTGTAGGAGCAGGTTAAAGATGTGATGTTGGCAGTGAAGGACAGTCCAGTGTCCCTCCCAGATTCCTTGCAGTCTGAGTTGTGAAACAACACAATGTTAATAGAAAGGGCATGAATGGGAGAGTCCTTACCTGCAAGGAAGAGCAGATCGGTCTTGTTTAGATTGCGCTTTAGGTTGTGCAAAAACATTGCACTGAGAGATGTGAGCCATACAAGCACAGATGTGTGTGACCTCCTGGGTTTCAGAAAAAAACAGAATCAGTTTTGTATTATTTGCGTTACTGTCGTAGGAGAAGCAATGAAAGCCAAGTTAATACGTGTACAGAGATAAAAGGAGGGGACCAAGGGCCTGCTGTATAACCCTATCAATAAAAAACAGCAACAACATTGCTTTGAAGAAACAAAAAAACCCAACTAGATTAATAATCATTTTTTTCAATCTCTACTTTTTTATTTTTTGCAGGTGATAATATCATTGAGATAGGGGCAAATTGGATCCATGGACCGTCTGAAGGGAACCCAGTGTTTTGTCTGGCCCGTCAGTATGGGCTGCTGGAACCAGATGCCCTCACACCAGAGAACCAGGCCATGGATGTTGAGGGACATCCCCCCTGGGTTCCCAACTTCTTCAGCAGTTCAGGTCAAGTACATTTTTGTTATATAGCACACAATCGCAAATGTACCTCTAGAAGCTTTAGGATAAGGAAAAAATATATCTGAATGTCGTCAGATATTGGCAAAATTGTAGATTATTTTAAGACTGACCCTTCAGATACATCCAATTTTAATATTGACTAGTTACTGTAGAGTTTTCCTTATTAGTTTTCTCTGGGATGTGTAATTTGCAGGTAGGAAGCTGAATGCCGAGGATATCTATCCTGCTCAGGAGATGTTTCTTGAACTGATGAGTGAAGGTTCAAAATTCGAGAGTCAGGGTGGAGAACCCTGGTCCTGTGTGGGAGATTTCATACGTTCAGAGGTACATTTCTCTCAGTGAATACAATAATAACACTGGATGATGACAAGATTGGCTTGAATATTTGAGATGTTTTTGAGGATAAATTGCATCTTGTAAGACAAAGGAGTTTGTTTTGTTTCTTGTTTTCTGGCCCAGGCTGAACAACAAGCAGCAGAAAAGTGGAAAGATATCGATGCAGCTACCAGATGTCTGCGACTGTGCGTGATCAGTAACATGTTGAAGGTCGAGTGCTGTGTTAATGGGGCTCACAGTATGGATGAGGTGGGCCTGGGGGCCTACGGTCTATACAAGACTCTACCTGGGCTCGACTGCACATTCCCTGGGTTAGTCCTTTAACATTGCATACATATAGTACAGCAACTATCATCTATTTCTATAATTCATTCCCATAAGACCTTATTTCCTATACATTTGAATGTTAAAAATGTCATTTGTAATGTCATGTTATGCAATTGCTTCACTCAAAGGAGCTGCTTTCTTTTGATAAAAAGCACACTTATGAATCACCCTATGGTCAAACATGCCGTTAATGTCCAATCCATGATTAAGACAGAGGTGAAGTAACAAAACACCATTTAGCCTGACAGTAATCTTCTTTCCCAGATATGATCTGACTCCAACAACTACTCCCCGGTAGCTTTATCTGACACATAGATAGTTTGGTTTATTTGGTTTATGAGTGGTAGATTATTCAATCTGATCATTTCAGCCCTCTTTTGTCTTTTTTGATTGACCTAAATATAATTTTCTTTTTCACACAGTGGCTATGAAGGTCTAATCAAAAACTTGATGTCGGAGCTCCCCAGTGATTTGGTGACTTACAACCGGCCTGTTCGCTGTGTCCACTGGAACAACACAGAGAAGGAAGAAAACTCTGTGATGATCGAATGTGATGATGAGAAGAAGATAGCTGCTGATCATGTCATTGTCACTGTACCTCTAGGTAGATTCAGGGACGTATATTAGCAAACACAGTTTGGTATTTTCCATCTCAGCGCATGAAATGTTTAGGTTGTGCTACAACTCTGTTCTTGTGATTTGCTGTTCTTTACAGGATATCTTAAGAAGCACCATTCAACCCTGTTCAGTCCTCCTCTCCCTCTACACAAGCTGCACTCTGTAGAGAGACTAGGATTTGGAACTAACAATAAAATATATGTGGAGTTTGATTCACCGTGGTGGGATGCTGACTGTGAGGTCATATATCTTGTATGGGAAGATGAGGTGAGATGTGCAGTCATTGAATAAAGAGACAGACAGGGACACCTAATTACCTAGGAGAATAGTCATTTTAAAACAAAGTTTTCCCTAGTGCTAGGGTCTTAATTTTTGGGCTGGTTTTGCTCGTGAAATCTGGGTCAGGGTTGCCCATTGTGTCCTATTTTTCAACCACACATATTCCAAACCAGTTATCAAAAATGTCTAACACATACACACTATTAAACAGTTTCCTCTCTTGTTGTGATTCAGGATGGCATGTTGGACCAGGTGCCAGATGTACAGAGATCCTGGATAAAGAAGCTGTTTGGCTTCACTGTGCTCAAACCCTCTGAAAGGTCAACAAATGCTGATGCGAGCAACTATACACTGCACTTTTTTTATTCTTACGTGATTTGACATTTTATTGTGTATTTATTTACATGTGTGTACTGTTTTTGTATGTTATATTTAATAGAAAAATAACTGGTAAATACATTGATAAGGAGTAACGTACTCTGCTGTTCAGGTATGGCCATGTTCTGTGTGGCTGGATTGCTGGACATGAGTCAGAGTATATGGAGACCCTGTCTGAACAAGAGGTCACACACACCATGACACAACTCATCTGCAGATTCACTGGTGAGCCTAAATATGTCTCAAAGATTGAGCAACAATTCAGTACAGATTGCATTTTAGCATGTACCTTTTTTCTTTTAAAAGTGGAGGCTTTCTGTCTAAAACGTAAGTTAAGAATGATTTCTGTCAGCACTCTCAGACTAACTGTGTTTAGGAAACCCGACCGTCACCCCGAGGAGAGTACTGCGCTCACAGTGGTTTCATGACCCCTGGACATGTGGATCTTACAGTTACCCAGGAAAAGGTTGTTCAGCTCAGGACCTGGAGAACATGATGGAGCCTCTGCCTACCAAGGGGTCACTTTTACAAGTAAATACATGTTCATTCTCAAACACAATTGTATGCACTTAGGAAAAACACAGACTCACATTATATGATAGACCAAGTTGTAAGACCTACTTGTAACTAGTTGGTGTATTTCAGCCCCTGCAGGTGTTATTTGCTGGAGAGGCGACTCATCCCTGCTACTACTCCACCGTCCACGGAGCTCTCTTTACTGGGTGGAGAGAAGCTGACAGACTCATCTCTCACTATTCCGCCATCTGTAACTCTGAACCACCCAAGTCAAAGCTTTAAAAGAACATTGCTGCTTTGTTATTTAAATCAGTCGCTTAAGGGCGCTTTCAACTATTCTAATCCGAATATCACCCAATCGTCTGCGCTGCCTGGGCTAAAAGAAAATCTGGTGTTCTTACACAGCATGTATTTACAGGATCTGTAAATGGGAAAAAAATCAAGAAGCTTGGACCAAGTCACCTGTTATTTTCAGCCAATCAGCAATGGAGAGCATTCGTGCTTGTGTACAATCAGGAAAATTAAGATTTGAAGTTAGACAGTAATCTTGTTTACATGTTATCTTCATATCAATGCATCTGAAAGAATTAATTGTGATTTTGTGCCTTTGATTTTTTGTATTTAAAGAATGATTGAACTCTAATCTAGCAGTTTTCAAATATCCATATTGCTGAATTTATTATAAAATATTCATATGTGTGTGTATATATATATATATACATTGATTGTAATTATCTATCAGATGTTATACATTGTTTATTTTTCAATAATCTGTTTTACCAGTTCTCTCTTAAATCAGTGAGTTAATCTCAAACCTATGTGAAAAACTATTAATAAAGTTCCATCTCACTTATAATGTTTTACTAATCATTTTATTGTTTGTACCTGACAATATGTTGCCTTATTGTTTTTTCCTTTTTTTCACTCTGGCTTTTATAACACTTTGTTAATCTGTTTTTCATGTTTGATTAATTACTAATAATATTGTGTAGCCTACACCTAAAAACTATTCACTGACGGGCAACCAAGAAAGTATGGATTAGAGGAAATTATGGATTATGGATTAGAGGAAATTTAGAAAACGTAAAAAATAACCTAGAGAGAGAAATAGAAAGGCTAAGAACTATTGAAGCCATCCATTTGTGTTAAGAACAATAGTAAAGGACGACAAATAGAGCCCATGAATGTAGTACAGTTTTTACAATTTTAATTGTATTTCTTGCTGCCGCTTTACTTCTTGATTACTATATATTTCCATTTACTTTTAAAATGCTGAGAATTATTTTTTACATAGATGTGTACTTAGCAAGTAGTTCATAATTGTTCCTGTGGAGGGGGAGTAACGCACCCTCTGGCGTAAAAACTGCTAAGAAATGAAAACCGAAGAAGTCTTCAGCGGAACCGAGTTCTTCCTCGCCTTTAGATTCAAGTCGGCATGTAAACAGTGATGCACACCATCAACATGTCCATTGCAGAAAGGTCCTTTGTAGCCAGTCATTTAAAATAATTCAAAAAACGAAAGTCAGGCGTGGCGATATTTAGAGCAACAGCAGCCATGAGACTGTACCAGGCTCTCCGTAATGTCGGGAGCTTCAGGACCTCTTTCGACTTTGGTGCACGGGAAGTAGCTCACTGGTTCCCGGGACACATGGCTAAAGGTGACAGCCTCAAAACGTTACTCCAGAGTATATAAAATAATCTATGCATTTTAAATGGATGTGTTACAATGTGTGAATCTGTGTAATAGCTTCACCTCACCGTTTACAGGACTGAAGCAGATGAGAGCCAACCTCAAGAGTGTGGACTGCATCATAGAAATACATGATGCCAGAATATCCTTTATTGTATCAACGCCAGGATACGACAGGGCAAAGGGCAAAGTTTTTTTTTTTTTTTTTAATAAAATAAGGTTAAACACATTAAAAAATAAATTAAACAATTGAAGTTAGTAAAAAAAAACGATCATACCTAAATAAAATCAAGAGAATTACAACTCATATCTTTATAGAGTGTATAAATGAGCGTATAAATGACTCTGAGCCAAGACTGTGAAATTAATAATTAATCTCTTTGGAGCACATTTCTGAAAGTGAGGTTTTAAAGATAAAACTGTTAAAGGTGCCATAACCATCACATGAACATTATTGCAGAGTATAGGATCCCTTGTCTTTACACTTGCTGAAAATCCCAGCGTTTGACCTCTTTTTACTGCAGAGGTTAAACAAATTGGATTTTTCCTTAATATTACCAACATCCCCTTCTCTGGGAGAAACCCAGCGTTTCAGGAGACTCTAAATGTCAAACCCCACTTGCTAATTCTCAACAAGATGGACCTTGCCGATGTGTCCAAGGAGCAGGTGAAATGTCTTACTGCTATCTTTACAGAGTCACATGTCATCATCATTTTAAAGTTTTCTAACAAACAACATTTGCCCTGCAGATAATCCTGAAGAAGCTTAAAAGAAACGGGGTGAAAAATGTTCTCTTCACAGACTGTTTAAAGCAGCGAGACGACAACGTCAAAAAGGTAGATGTCATCTCCACTGGATACCAGACAGGTGTCTTTTCGCAGATTTTTGTCATAAGCCGATATTCAATAAGCATGAAACATATTCCTTTTTTGTGTTCCTGAAGTTGGTGCCAATGGTGGTTGACATTATTGAGAGCAATCCACGTTTTAACAGAGATGAGGTATGTGTCCCAGGAAGCTTAATGATACTTTGTGTTAATTTTAGGTATGAGAGAAATAAACTGCAAGATACAAGGCATTTAACTAATAAGTAATACCCTCACAGATATAATCCTTGCTAACCAAAACACTGTTTTCATTGTGACTCACACACAACATTTATTAACAATGTATTTGTTGGCCATGCTCTAACCTTGTCATGTAAATCTTTCAGAATACAAATTATTGTCTGATGGTTATTGGAGTCCCCAACGTGGGGAAGTCATCTCTTATTAACTCACTGAGAAGAACATACTTGAAAAAAGGTTTGTATAATACATTTGCTGATTTGTATTGAGGTTCAATTCAGGATAATCATAACCTTCTTTAAAAAAACAACAATTGTAATACATTTCAGGTCGTGCATCTCGAGTAGGTGGGGAGCCAGGTATAACTAGAGCGGTCCTGACTAGAATTCAGGTGAGTGTAGAGGACATGTAAAACACTGTGATTTCATGGGTTCATTGTGTGTATGCATCTGTACAATATGTGTTTCTATATTTGACCTCAGGTGTGTGAGCGACCCATAGTACACCTGTTGGACACACCAGGAGTCCTGCCTCCTAAGATTGAGAGTGTTGAAACCGGCATGAAGCTGGCTTTATGTGGTGAGCAGCACAGAATTATTATTGTTTCCCACAACATACCAATATAATAGTATTCATTGGAATCAACCAAATCACATTTGTTGGTAAAGGAGGTTTTTAATTGTGCTCAACAAATATTTTAATATTTTTTCTTTCTACACCAGGAACTATTCTGGACCATTTAGTGGGTGAAGAGATCATTGCTGACTACTTACTCTATTCTCTAAACAGGCTCGGGGAGTTCAGGTAGGATTGACAATACTTTTGTCTGGTGTGTGTATTACTTTGTCTTCACATTGCTGTGATTGTTTACTTCACGTATGTATTTATGTGCAGTTATGTGGAGAAATACGGTCTCCAGGAGCCAAGCGATGACATCCAGTATGTCCTCAAACGCATTGCTGTGAAACTCGGAAAGACGCAACGGGTCAAAGCCATTACTGGAGTTGGTGAGAAAATGCAAATTCAACTCCTGCTACACACAGTATTATTGACTAGCGATCTCTTAGTTAAGTTAAATATAGGAATAGTACAATGTTTTCCTGACATGAGTTTGAAGGTGTTATGGCCATCATTTTAATGTATTATTAGACCCATAATACAAATGTTTATTCCTTGTCTCCTTCAGGGGATATCACCATCAAGGTCCCAAACTGCTCAGCAGCAGCTTACGATTTAATCAGAGCCTTCAGGAAAGGAGAGCTGGGACAGGTGATGCTCGACTGACCTGAGACATTGGAATGAAGACAGAGACTGTTTCTGGTTTCATAGGTTTTCCCTCAGTCTGGAAGGATTTATATTTTACCAAAAAGTGTCGTCAAGGTCCGTCTCTGACCTCATGCCTTTGACCTTTAGGGGACATGATGCAGTCTGTTCTGTTTATAGATGATGTATCAAAGCACTGTGTCCTTTGCAAATAAAATAATTTATCTTAATTCAGGTACATTTCTTCTTTTATAAGATATGAAGCAGATATCTGATCTGACAAGGTGTAAACATTATATTTATTAGCACAAAGACAGTAATAACAAACTCTCAGCCTATGTACTTAAGTGTTGTAATAAAGTTCATTTATATGGAACAGTCTGTTGCTCCTGAGTGTCTCCTGTAGGTAAAAAAAAATCTTCTTGGATGAAGGACGGATCATGAGAGAAATTAATAACAGTGAGGGCAGCAGTTTTATTTTTCTCCCAGCCATGCAGTGTGTGTGTACACAAATCTGAGAAATTCATTAGCTAAGTTCCAGTTGTTATAAAAGGGTATAAATTGTTCAGAAATTCAAGATGATTGATGAAAACGCAGTTAATACTCTAATTTGCCTTGTCTTGTTGTAGAGAATCCTCTTCATGGCTCCATTGAAATGCAGTCTTGCAGGTGGCAGTTGTTTCGATTTCAGGGGAAGAAAAACGTCAGTGTTCTACATAAATTCCAGATAGTCCGAGCTTTATGTTTAGACCCAGGTCTGTTCATAAATATGATTTAGTTGTACTAAACAGCGATGCTGTGTTTTTTTAACTTTACATTTCTTTTTTGCATATTATGAAAACGTATGTATTTTAAATTAAGATTGACAGTACTATTTAATGTGGCAGCCCACAGTTTGATAATAGTCCTTATCAAGGTGTTTCTATTTTTGATAATCCTGATAAAACATTTTCACAATAGGGTCTAGGAATCAAGCTTTAGGGAAGGAAACTAGTTATTATGTTTATTAAAGTTCTGTGTCATTTTATGTCCAACACTGACTTGACAAAGGTGCACTACTTTAAAGGTGAAAGGTGACATTGAATACTGGTTGGTTACATTTGTTTGTTGGTATAGCCTAGATTAGAAGATGACTATATGTGTACAAAATGTACAGTATTGATGTTTTTGTGTCCATCCACCACTGTGTTGCACCTCTGATGCTCCCAGTGCAGCTTCCTGTCATTCCTGCATATTATATTCAGATCCAGGGTAGAATCAGGAATTCATCCTAAAAAAAAACAAGCTAAACATCTACAGTATACTGTCTTGAAAGAATCCATATTTTTGGGAAAATGTTGCAATAATGATAGAAACCAGTTGAGGAAGAGAATATCCATTTTTTGTTGAGCCTGACATTTGTGAATCAAAGTAATTGGTCCTGTTGTAGTAATCCACGTCCTCGGAGCTGTCTGCGTTGCTGCGTCTGTAGGCAGAGGCATACCATTTATCCGCTGATAGCGCCACCGCCACCGCCGCCCCTGCTGCCGCTGCAGCTGCGACCCTCACCGGGGAGGACCGGCCCGCAGCCCGGACGCGGGAGTGGGTCCCTCCGTAGGGCCCGGACCCCCGCTGACTCCCCGCCGAGGAGCTCCGGGAGTGGGTGCCTCGAGAGGAGCCACGGGACCCTCCACGTCCCCCTTTGGACAGCACCGGCTCACACAGGAAAGCAGCGAGCAGGAGGCAAGTCCAACATGTTGCAACCACCCGGTTTAACCCCGACATCTGCAGGAAGAAGACATAATGGAGAAATGTAAGACCTGTGGTTAGATTCGAATACACATTTTAAGTTTAAAATGGGGAAATAACCCTATGTTTTATGTTGCTGCAAAACATAGGCTAAATATCTGATTTGAGGTGGCATACATTTGAGCAAACAGCCATCCTTTCTTTTTCACTGATCAATTCTGTATACAACTCAGAATATAAGGAGTGACATTCTCTGAACATGGCTGTAGAACAAGGAGTAGGCCTACACTGCTCATCATCAAGGGTGTGAGATCTTCAGTGTCTCCATAACAAAACATTGCAGTTGCCCCTCTTCGTTTAAGTAGGTCAGGTTAAAAATAATTATTTTCACCAGATAATTGCTGTTGCTGCTTCATGGGTTAACATTCCGCCTATGGATGATTATGAAATAGACAAAAGATGTTAGGCTATATTTCTGTCATTAAAAGGCCATTATACGACATTTAGTCAGAGTGTTTTGGTCTAACAGGGAACTATAGAAATGTAGGACGTAGGCTATGATCGTTATTATACGTACGTTTTCAACGAAATGATTTGATACACGATTTGAAATGCTTGATGTTCATCTCATTGTATTCTCATAAATTACTGTTCCTTACCCTAAATACACGAATCACACCACCATTTAAAAAGAAATGCATTGCATCCATGGTCTAAACCCACGTCCACGTTAACCAGTATACGGTATACCATAGGCCTACAGGTTGACATAACGGCTGGAGCTTACCTTTTTTCCCTGTTTTATCCTTGCTTGGGTCTTTGCACTCGGAGGAAAAGATGAGAGGGGATTGTCACGGACGATGCAGGCTCGTTCACGTAAGTGACTAGGAGAACGCGCATCTCGCGTGAATATTTGAATGTGTTTTTCATTGAATATTATGGGATATTGAAAAAGTAAAAACACAAGCAAAATTGGTAAAAAAAAGACTGAAAATCAATATGTCTGTCATATTTATTTGAATCATGATATACGTGCTTTGTCCTTTATTGTATTGTTTTATATTAATCCTCCCCCCTTTTGTATGTTTTTTAAAAGTTGTATATGTATAATGTGTATTTGTACTGGATGATATAACATAGACAACAAATACAGTTTTGTTTTGTTTAGCTGAGATAAATGATTTGAAGGTAATTACATCTTGTTCTACACTTTGCAGACGCTGGGTGGCAATACTACTCCAAGGAACATACGACTTCAGGAAAAACACCAACGAAGAAGAGGAGGTGAGCGGAAGTAGCTTCCCGTGTTATTGGAGCAAGTTCATTGACAACATTCCTCCGTCGTGCAGTCGCTGTCATGGCTTTCCTCTGCAGAAGTGCTGCCTCCCTCCTGAAGTCCTCCCGAGCAGCGCCGGTTGTTCTGTCCGCTGCCCGCCTCTACAGCTCAGGTGTGTGTTCAAACACTGTCAAAGTGTGTATTGCACCTGCATAACTGTTGCGTGAAGTGGCCCTGCTACAATGTCAAGAAACCTGCGTCACCGAATGTGCATGTGCGACGCATATGGAGCCGACTGGATCCCTAAGTTGGTTATTTAGTTGTCTGTGTTTTCTGTCATTTGCACCACAAAGAGATCTCTAAACTTTAATGGATCAGATAATTTCTAACATGTCGTTCACACGAAAACCCTTGCCTTTTTAAAGGGGAATTACAACCTAAAATTGAATTTATAGTTGTTATTTCTATAACTTTGTGCAGCCCAGATATCATTTATGATGTGTTCTTGTTTGATGTGATGATTTTCGACACTACAAATTCAAAAGAATAACGTGTTGTAGTAAAAACACTTGTTCCAATAAGGTCCCAAAAGACACAACACAACGCTGAATCATATGCAAAAATACAATATAACATCACTATGCATCAAAGAAAAACTCCCACATTAAAGTATACTTAAGATGATTAGGACGTAAAAAATACTGAGTGCACATTGCAATGATTATTTATATTCAGAGACAAATCCTGCAGTGGCTAAATAACAATGTGACAGCTGTCAGGGGGATTTTACAGAGTTGGGGGTCAGACATGAAGTGACCCTCTGTTGAACATGAACAGGATGGGTGTCACTCTGCAGGCCGTAGAGATGCTGTTTCGCTTTCTTGGTCAGCGAGGTTTAGTGTGTCCTCCTGAAGTAATCAGCAATCTGTACACCAGGAAACATGTGGCTCTTGACCTTCTACACACAGGAGTCGTTGATGTGAAGACGGGTATTTTCAACATACCTCCATTAAACCCTGGAATATAATTATGCACAGATGATCAAACATTCGAATGGCTGTTTGATTTGTATACATCTTCCATCTTTATCTACACTGAACAAAAATATAAATAAAACACTTTTGTTTTTGCTCCCATTTTTCATGAGATGAACTCAAAGATCTAAAACATTTTCTATATACACAAAATAACCATTTCTCTCACATATTGTTCACNCAGAGTCCTGACCTCAACCTCAAGAGAGCGATTCACACCAGACATCCCAAGAATATTGCTGAACTGAAACAGTTTTGTAAAGAGGAATGGTCCAAAATTCCTCCGAATTTTGGACCATTCCTCTTTACAAAACTGTTTCAGTTCAGCAATATTCTTGGGATGTCTGGTGTGAATCGCTCTCTTGAGGTTGAGGTCAGGACTCTGACTGGGCCACACCAGAAGGCGTATTTTCTTCTGTTGAAGCCATTCTGTTGTTGATTTACTTCTTTGCTTTGGGTCGTTGTCCTGTTGCATCACCCATCTTCTGTTGAGCTTCAATTGGTGGACAGGTGGCCTTAAGTTCTCCAGCAAAATGTCTTGATAAACTTGAGAATTCATTTTTCCGTCGATGATGGCAATCTGTCCAGGCCCTGAGGCAGCAAAGCAGCCCCAAACCATGATGCTCCCTCCACCATACTTCACAGTTGGGATGAGGTTTTGATGTTGGTGTGCTGTGTCTTTTTTTCTCCACACATAGCGTTGTGTGTTCCTTCCAAACAACTCAACTTTGGTTTCATCTGTCCACAGAATATTTTTGCCAGTAGTGCTGTGGAACACCCAGGTGCTCTTTTGCAAACTTCAAACGTGCAGCAATGTTTTTTCTGGACAGCAGTGGCTTCCTCCATTTTATGACCAACTTATGCAGAAATCCAGGTAATTCCAAAGGGTTCACATACTTTTTCTTGCAACTGTACACGTTCAGGTCACCATGCACATGCCTCTGGGGGTACAAAGATACTCAAATCTAGACATTTATTTTTTCTCACCCATGCAAAGACACAAACACGCACTCTTAAGTCCTAAAATGGCATTTATGGAGGCCACCTGTCCATATGGGATCTGATAAACACACCAAGGTCAGCCCTGTTTAGTTTGAATTAAGTCTCTGTGAATGTTAACACACGGCACAGGCTTCCTCTTCTCCTCTTCCTGCACCCCACCCCCTCCCTCTTTTCTCCCTTTCCAACACACACACACACACACACACACACACACACACACACACACACACACACACACACACACACACACACACTAACCAACACATGCCTAACCCTAACAAGGTGAGTCCCCACACGTGACTGTGTAAACAGATTTAGGTCCCCACAAGTATAGTAATGCTAGGCAACACACACACACACACACACACACACACACACACACACACACACACACACACACACACACACACACACACACACACACACACACACACACACACACACACACGGGTTGCCTCTGCTAGTAGTGGAAGTTATCCATCACATTATTCATTCCCTCTCTCCACGGAGCCCCTCACAATCACCTCATCTTTTCTCATCACATCTGCCAAAGCATTTTTCTCACGCTCGCAGCACCGGTGCTTTTCAAACGCTCTCCTGTAAAAACTTCTTCCAGATTATTGTGTTGTGGTGTATTGAGGGGCCGTGTGGCGTAGTGGGTTGTCCGTAGGTGTTGGGATCAGCAGGTCACAGGTTCAAACCCCACTGCAGTCAGCATGTTGTTGTGTCCCTGGGCAAGACACTTCACCCCAAATTGCTCCTGTGGGGATTGTCCACAGTATTGAGTATGTAAATCGCTTTGGATAAAAGCGTCTAACAAGTGACATGTAATGTATTGACACAATGTGGAGTTTCAGGGTCGGGCCATTGACACGAATGAAAGTAGTTATTAAGTATTTCAGGATTGCAATAGTTATTTATTATTCATTTTTCTACAAATCATATGCTTAAATAATATCAACCACTGTTGTATTTTATTAATTCTGCAATTCTTTGCTTCAAATTAAAATGTTTGCCACACTGTTGCAAGAAAATAATCTCTGTATGTTGATGCATTAACATGTCATAGTGTCCCTGGGCAACATTAAAAACACCATATTGCTTTGCTTGTGGTGCTGTATACGAGCGTTGGATGTAAGACCTTCTGTATAAAAGCATCTAAATACGTATGTATCCAGTCATGTGCTCTGACACAATGGAAAATAAGGACATTGTAGGGAAATGTCTTCCTTTAAAGAGAAAGGAGTGAATTGGAAATGGATGGGAAATCATAAATCAATGACACCGTGTCGAACAAGAGCAGCTGAATCAGAAAACAGACGTCTTTGTTTAAAAAGATTCTGTGAAAAAAACGTATGAACCGTAAAGTTTCATAAGACAGTCTGACAAACACTGCCTCAGGGCCCGTATTGAAGGATACAGAAATAAAATATATATTAAAAACATAAAATTGAATTGTGTACAGCTTGCCACCACAGGATCTCTGGATTGCATCACAAAAAATCACAAAAGGCAGATTTCTGTGGACACAGGGACAATGAGCGATGCTGACCATGAAATAGAGAAAGCATTGAGGAGAGAGAAGTTCTCACCACCAACTACGCATCAGCGAAGAGATTTTCAGCAAACACAGACAGCTTCAAACCTCCCTTTTTGTAGTTGTGTCGGTATAAAGTGGGCTTATGTAGACTGTGGTTGCAATCAAGAATACAATGAGGAGATTCAGCCGACAGAATCAATGTAAACACTTCTGTGGTGCTTACTCTGATCAAGAAAGTTGTTGCAGCTTTGTCTAATTAAATGTAAGACTTTTTATAATTTTTTCTCACAATGAAATGTAAGGCAGATCTTTCAACGGGCAACTTACGGTTAGGGAAAGTACTGATGTTATAACAATGTTATTGTTACAAAACATTTCACATGTAGTTGTTAGCTACAACAAACTAAATTAGTTTTTGGTTCAACAGGCATTTTGTAAACTGTACAAACATAAAAGAGGAAACAAATGACTGAGTCAGAAAAAAATAAAACATTTAAATAAAAATGTCAGGCTTATTTTTACAAAATTAATTGCCTTTTAAGAATGTGTGTATATATATATATATATATATATATATATATATATGTGTATTTGTGATATATATATATATGTCAGTTTGAGCAACCGAAAGATTGTGCTGCCCTCTAGTGGCTTCAGCTCAACACAACTGCTACAGTACGACCAAATGAAGACTGATGTTTCTTTACACCACAAACTAGCAAGTTTACAAACAACATTTTGACAAAATGTTAGATTTAAATTTCTATAGATTGCATTATATTTTAGGAAAAAACATAGTTCGATGTTTTCCTGTTGACAAGAAAATGGCTGCATCTCAGAAACTATTTGATTTAGATATATATGTAATGCAATGTAATGGAAAATGTCACAACTTTTAATAAGTGTGATTCTTTATGTGATCTGAGAATCTAAAAGGTTGTACTATTAGATACTTACCCAAAGTTGGTCTGTAGACTTTAGACCAGGGGTCGGCAACCTTTTTGATATGAAGTGCCATTTAAAAAATTGTTATCAGCGTGTCAACGATCGAGAATCATCAACGGGGGGGGGGGCTTGGGGAGCTTGACACTGGTGAACTGTCAACAGGAGGGCGGTGGAGCCTCGCTGCGGGGAAGCAGTGTGTGGACCTGTCAGCGCAACTTACATGATGCCGAATTTAACAAACACATTTAAATGTTTGGTTTAAACGGCATAATAATAATTATGATTCTCCAGAGCACACATATTATGATATTAGGGTCATGCAGATTGAGATGAGATCGCTGTCCCTTTAAGAGAGAGAGGGGTGTGGATTGTGCATGTGTGTTTGTGGATGGTAGAGCGACAGTGAGGGAACGTGTGTATGTTTCTGGATGTGAAACGAGGAAGCAGAAAAACAGAGGTCTGTAATCTATTTTGTGAAACAGAAGAACAGCTAAATAAATGCAAAGAGCTCGCCTCTCTCCAGTCATTTAAGCTAAAGTGGGTTATTGAACCTGAAGCTTGTTGCTTCTGCCCTCCTCGACTATGGTCTGGGAGCCGACAGGAAAGTTCAACACACAGATGGCCAGTCCGCCCCTTTGTAGCATATTATTTCGATGAGAGATGAGCAGATCGCCACTGGGCTTTCAACTAAATATACAGCCACGCAAAAACTGCGGGATTTGTACAGCTCCTTATGGGTACTGCAATTAGTGAAGTGCTTTCCTCCGTGGTGAAACGATCAGCACTGCACCACGGAGGAAAGCGACAGAAAGTCACCTGGAGATAAAGAGAGCGGGGCTGCGTTGCGTGCATGGCTTCCCTTCTGCAGGTAACGGGGAGACGCGCTCTGGCGGCGGTCTCGTTCAGGATCCGAAAATACAATTTAAATATTTTGCACACTTATTCCACTTATTCCTAGTGTGCCACTGGTTACGGTGCCGCGTGCCAGCATTGGCCAGGGGTTGCCGACCGCTGCATTAGATCCTACAGTTGAATTATTTGGAGGCAGCAGTACAGTAAATCAGTATTTAGGGACTTGGCTTGGGAATTGGCTGGTCACTGATTAAAGTCCCCACACAGACCATAACCAGTCAGTGGACTGGTAGCCGGAGAGGTACCAGTTTGCCTCCTGGGTGTCCAGGTGTCTTTCAGCAAGGAACCAACCCCAAACTACTACGGTTTTTCTAAAAGCCAAGGACAGCTCTCTGCATATGAAAAAGTAGGGCCATAATTTCAAGTCACGCAGAGCGGGTGGGGGTCACATGATTTGTAAACGACCAAGGCCTATTTTATAGATGAATGGGTTTCGATAGCAGAACACTTTTTAATCTGACCATATATTGTTCACTGTATATGATGAATATTTCTAAACCTGGGCAAATTAAAACAAAACAATGGCTAGGCATAGATGTACAGTACGTGAGTTGAATGAACTCCCTCTTTACATTTTTAGTTAGGAGTCTAAACGTTTGAAAGTTATTCCAATCCAATTCCTAATCCAGGAGAGTTCCCAGCAACTTGTTTTATTTATCACCGAGTGTAATCACAACAGACAGTCGGTCCATTTAGTTTATTGTTACAACAGTTTCGAAACAGGATATCTTTATTCAGCTTGCTAAATTTAACCCAACTGTCTATTTTTGGTCCCTTTGTGTCATTGTGTTTATGTTGATTACTACATCAAAAAAATAAAAGAAACACGATGAGGGAACAGAGTGTGGTGGCAGGAGGCCCAGACTCACATCATATGTGACTTCCTCTCCCAGGTCGGCCTCTGTGATCAAGATCTTGGAGATTTTCTCACAGGGTCCATAAAGCACACGAGTCACCAGCGGGTATTCGCCTTCCCTCAGTCGGGTCTTTTCTACAAGGATATACGAAGAAAACAAATGAACACAAAGACAACTAAAACCATTATTATCTGATAAATCCACAATAAAATTAATTACTTACCACCAGACTCGTGCACCAAATAAAGTACAAACTCTTCAGATTTATTCTCCACCTTAAAAAATAGAGACATATATTTTATTTCTGGTTTTACTGTTACGCCACTTGAGATGCAACTATTGTCTCACTGCTTACCCTAAACTTGTGTAGCAGCAAGTTGAGGACTTGTCCAGTCGTCATGGAGCTGTTCACTCGTACGTTAGTAACAGAACCGAAGGCCGGAGTAAATACAGATGTCTGAAAGCAAGAGAGAAACACATGTAGAAATAACTGAGAGGGCTCAAAGTATTAGGTACTTTGCTTCATGGACACTTGAGAAGCGATTTCTGGACATTAACACCTTGGAGCTTTTGAACATTGGTCTGTTCCTGGAAACTGTCTGTTCCAGGAAACTGTTCAATAAAAACACTGTCTTCAGGAGAAACTGATGAAGGAACACAGTGTGACCTTGTATTATGTAGCACATTAATGAGATCAGCCCACAGCAGGCTATTGTGGCCCTCAGCACTACAGGCACACCCACACAGGAAGCTTCCGCCCTTCTGCAGCTGGAGATGTGTTAACAGCGGGATACATTAATGTGTGTTCTGTTTATTGTACCTTGTGGTTATAGAAGTGTCCGTTGATTGAGAATCTGTGTGTGCGCAAGCGCTGCAAATCTCTGGCAGTGTGTGTCCTTGACCTCCTCTGAACCCGCATGAAGGAAGCATCACTCCTAGTCCTCAGCAGCTGAGGAGAATCCTCCTCATCCGGTCCACATGTGTCTCCACCTCAGGGCAAACAAAAACATGCCTCTTTTAACACATGCATTGAACACAAGTTCTGCCATGGTTTTAACACAGACGTCATTGTTAAGCCCATCAATTGTCTTTAGCATTAAATAAATAATATATAATAAATTTCCCTTTAAACATATAAATAACAAATACTCTTGCTCTCAAATTAAGATCTGGAGTATGTTAGTAATATAACAATATATGATTTCAAATGAGTTTTGAAGGTTATTTTTTTCTATTAGTATTTGAAATCCTCTAAAACAGATTAAACATTTCAATTTTACACTGTTTACTGGAAAGGAAATGTATATTAAAAACTAAAAATGTCTTCAGTTGTTTAGCTATGATTAAGAAAGACTATGGCACACAACTTAACTGGCCAAAGTCAGATCCATGACTAATGGCCTAGCGTTGGTTGTCTATAGTGTTATTGATAGTCTGATGTAGGTGGCATCTCAGGCTAATCTGTGCTCCACCTGTGAGCCAAGCTTTCCAATGGAAATTATAACTAAGTATCCATGGTGCTTTAATCTGTCTCAGCATGTGATTGTAATCTATGTTGATCAGTTAAGTATGTAAATGTGCAAGTGTGTAAAAGGTATTGCACAGGTTTGTTACTCACCTGCTGGCTCAGGTTCTGTACCCAGTGAGTTGTTGTTAGACTCTTCTGAGAGCTGCTTTGCCCCAGCAGATCTATCGTTTCTGTAGAAAGAGGAACAATGTGTTTATTGTTTGTCAGAAATATGAAAAGTTTGATACCACTTGTGTGCATATAAAATATTAAACTACAGCTGGCAGACAGTTCGACTGTAAATGTGGAGAAAGTGTTCCTGGTACCAGTCTTAATGCTAAACCTTCTTAGCTAAATGCAAAGGTAATTTTCCTTTTTTGTAAAACGTCTTCCAAATTGAAGATAATTTTAATCAAGATGAATCTGTCCTCTTTTACTTGATACATTCGTAAATAGTTTTGCCCAAAAACGATAAAGAAAATATGCATTCAAGTTTCACTTCATTTATGACATGCTAAATTCGAAATATTTTCACTTTATTATCATAAATGACGGCTAAACTAGGGGGAACCATTGTTAGTTTTGGACAAAAATAATGCAGAATTTGCCCTTTATTTACTATTTTGTTTTATTTATTGATAATTTTATTTAGATGCTATGGGTCTGCTCCGAGTGGTCATACCGGTTGAGACGAAATCTTTCATTGTCGTCGTACATCTGAAGTCTGATTGGTCGGCGCAGACCCCAGTAGATGTTCAGCAACCCCTCCAGGATGAGCTCTCCATCTTCCTACACACAGACACACACACAACAGTGATCATCACAACTCGTGTTCAGAGAGGATATCCTGCTGGCCGCCTGCCACAGAAGCTCCATGTCAGTTGTACGTGCAGGAGCGCTCACAGCTTGGTGACCCCTGTCATCTTGGAAAAAGACCGTCAGGTTTGACCCACCTTTTTTTACATTGTACAAGGGTGAAGTCACGTCCGAAAAGGCAGCAATAAGGAGAACAAAGACGAGACTGTTTTGGGTCACGTACACATTTTGATCTCACAGAAGTGAAAGTCTAGAGATAGAAGAAAATGGTCCCATGATGAGTACGGAGATAAAACAGTGTAATTAACATTTTTTTCAGTTTGCTTTTCATTGTAAAAAGAAAAGGGTCTCTAGCATGTTGAAGTGAATCGAGAAGCCTGAAGTTTATTGTTATATAACTCAACTATTAAATAAAATATGATATCCCTACTGTGACTGTGTAATCACATACTTGATCAGCTTCCTTTCCCTCCAATAGCCTGTTATTCATAATATCCCAAGAATACAATGCAGCTCTTTAACTCGATTTATTTGTATGGGAAATTCAATAAATCAATTTGTCAAAGAAATACAAACACCACATTAAAACTGAATCTTATTTGATCAGCTGATTCTCTGCCAGTTTAAGGTTTGTGGTTATCCTGCTGCAATTCTGCTTAAATTCCAAGTAATTTAATGTTAATTCCTTGTGAACACATACTGGACATTTATACTTATTGTAAGTCGCCTTGGATAAAAGCGTCAGCTAAATGCAATGTAATGTAATATCAGGGAAAACGGTTTGCTTTTCATTTCATTCAGATTATTTTGAAATAATTTATTACTTATAAGTAAATCATAATCATTGTAAACACTTTGTATTAAGCATCATTCTGTATTGACATATATTAGTGTCTATACAGTTTATGATTTAATGGTTGATATTGTGAGAGTGAGTTTGGGAAATAAGAAGTCCTTAAATACAACAATTTAGCCTCACTCAGCTCATGACAACGATGATCGAAGACATGGTGTGGTTCTTTACAACTTGACTGTCAAAAGTCCATAAAATGCAACACAAATGTTCCTAAGTAGTTGTGTGTTAAACTTCTTCTGTATTTTGTATTCCAGTCATCTTGCAGCATGTCACTATGAACACATGAAAGCAGTTTGCATGAAGATCTCAGACAGCTTTTTATCAAATATATTTTTAATGGTGCTTAACTAAATCTCCAAGATGGGCCTCTAAATGTAGGAATGTCCTGTTAATAGAACATTACACAGTTTAATTAGCATGGATAACTTGTGGCTGACAGTTACTTTTGACTGTGATATCATAAAAAATGGTGGGAGCAATAGAAGCTTGTCAGTAAGAAATGTACAGATTGCTTATAAAGAAGAATACTGGAGATAGTCAGGTGTTCACCATTTTTAGATGGCTTAACATTTTATTACTGAAATAAAAAAAAGAGGTACCGTGGGTTTTTGGAGGCGAGACAAAATGCTCCCAGGGCTTCATTGTTTCTGGAATATAAACATTGAGAGCAGCTTCACCACTGGACCTCTCTGACCTGCATCGCCAGTTTCCTGAACAGGCATGGACACACCCTCCCAAACACACACAAGCCCACAGAGATGCGAGTAAGGTCAGCAGATCTATTTTTGGAAGTAGCGACTCATCGCTCTGCTTCAGAGTGCCTCTATAAAGCCCGGATACACACTCTGCTCCAGTCATACTCAACTGAGCGGACTACATCACTCTGCTTCACTCTGCATGTCCACTCCACAACTCAAGCAACAAAGGTGAGAGTGCTTCTTCTTCTTGTGTTCTTAATTAACACTTGTTATAGACGACTTACAATTTATCCATGTGTTCAAGTTGATTTAAAAGTAATATTTACAAACCAGACAGAAGAATAAAAACGTATGAAATTAATAGAGTTAAATGTTTTGACCACAAATTAAATTCTTACGAAAACAAGGAATGAAGGGCATCTACAGCATATAAAATGTTAAATTATGTGAATCTAAAAGACTAAAAGAAAAAAAAGTGTATAATGAAAATGAATATAATTAAAGAGTTTTTTCTTAACAACCACAATTTAAAATCACTATCTAAATGTTTTTTTAAATTAAATAAACAGTTTATGTATTTGGACTTTTCATATGGTCTAACTGTTTTATTTCCCCTCCCCCGATGCAGCATGAAACGCACATGGCTGTTGCTTTCCTTGCCTCTCTTACCCACAATTACTGAGACCCTGGAGGACTTGCCTGTCCACCCCTCCTCCTCACAGCCTGCCCAGAGCTCAGCGTCTCTGGACGACTACATGACGAGCATCCAGGCTCTTGCCCGATCTGAAGAGGCCCCGAGCTGCGGCCCTGTCAGACTCCAGAGGGCCCCCAGGCTGCGGCCGTTCTCTAAGGCTCAGATGAAGCTCTCTGTCTCAGCCTCACTGCCTCTCGGCTCTCCCCGCTCACTAAGGACTTCCAGACTTTGCAATCTGAGTCTCAACAGCACAGAGGATTTCTCTCTTATGAGGGGCAGAGAAAAAGACTGCAGGGGCAAAGATCCAGTAGACTGGCTGTTTGGACAGATAAGGACTTGAAGGGAGACAAGGTTGTTGTTGTTGTGGAAAAGCCCAAAAGCACTTGTTGGAATATATCATAATCAAACAACGTTGGAGAACCTGCTCTGTTTATGAAGATCAAAACAGCGCAATGGCTGACTTATTATGATGAACAAAGACAGAATCACCAAATGGCTCCAGAGAGAAGACATATTTATTTATACGCACTGAGGACTGAAGTCTACATGTTTACATTTTTTTAAGATATAGTTTGTAATAAAATACTAAAATACTCATGAAGATATTTTTTTCTCTGCTGTTTTTTGAAGTTACTTTAAAGAGCTGAATATCGTTACATTTCAATCACTTTGATAGAGCTGAAGTCATTTTTTTTTATGAATGACACAGAAGATGATTTGTGACATCTTTAAAAACGGTCTAACCCTACAATGTTTCCATTTTATACTATTTCCATTTTTATACTATACTATTTTATTTGGGTACTTGAAGCAAATGTTTCTCTTCTTACATTTACTAAACATAATAATAACCTTTGATACTAGGGATCTTCAGATTCAAATGCATAAAACAAAATGTAGGCTTCAAATAAAACATGATTTTGATCATAGATAAGATAATATTATATATAGTTATAATATTATACTATATATAGTATATATATTATATTATTATAAACCCATAATGAGTACTTCACTTTTGGCAGATGTTATATTCTGATGCCATTATCTGCGTGTATTCCGTTATTTAATGTAAGAGAAATGTAAAAAAAGAATAACTATGCATGTGGCTTTAAACTTACTGTTTGAAAATACTGAGGTTTTGCACTTTACTCACGTTTAAAAGGTCCTGGAATATTTATCTTCAGTTGCCTGTGCATCACATGGCAATGGCATTGTTTGATATTATCCAGATCAAATGTAACATAATATTACCACTAGGGGCCATTTTAAGAAAGTAGGCTAGTTTTTGAAAGATTCAATACAGTTTGATTTAATGTAAAACGATACATATATGAATGGAACAAAGGTGTTGAGTATTTTGTGTAGTGTGTTACTTGGACTTGATAAAGGAATCTGAGTAACTAGCTGCCTCACAGGTTTAAGGGAAATAATGCTGCATCTACGTGGGGTAGATCCAATGGCACTACAGGTTGGTGTGCATTTTAAACGAAAAAGTACATTAACACAGCCACAACGGGGAAGCTGCAGCACGAAGACTGACTATTGAATATGTGCCGCTCTCCTCCCAGCAGACAGCACAGACAGACAACACACATACACTATTGAGCCCAAGGTGCCAAGGGGATCAGAATGGAAA